TGTCATTGAAAAGGTCTACACAGGAGGAGCCTACCAGTTAGTGGACTTCTACGGCGAAAGACCCATGTTACCAATAAATGGACGATACCTGAAAACCTATTACGCAACCTAATGTCGCTTGCCTTCGCTTGCTTTGAAACTTTGAAACTTTGATTTTTTTTTATTTTCTATGTGGCCAAATATCTATGACCGGGTCCAAATTTTGTAATTAACCTCAATATAATGAAAACTTTGAGAAATATTTTAAACTTTAATATTTCTCCTTTCTACTTTTAAACTTAATATTCCACTAAATTAAACAAAATTCATACACAAAATAAACAATTTTTTTTCCTCAAAACAAACTAAAATTTACTTTAATAAATACTTTGTTTTGTTTTTGTTCATGCCAAGTTTTGGCCCAGTGATATTTTTCCTGTCGTCTGCAGAAAAATGTCGGGACAGAGGCTGATCTTCACTTTCAAAGATGGTTGGAGCCTCGCACTGAATGAGGAAACGCACTGAATGCCTCGCACTGAATGAGGAAATGGCGCCGCAGGGTGGCACCATAGACGTCAACATGGTCTTTAACCAAGTCTATATGGACTACGAAGGTCCTCTGAAGAATGTAGTCAGCTGCCTAGAAAAGGAGGGATTACCTTCACTACTGAGGGTGGTCGCTAAAGACAATACATCACATAAAAGAAAGAACGTGATGATAGAGCAGGACCCGAGGGGGGGGCCCACCGTCTGCCATCCATGATAGCTACATCAGCCGGAGGTCTATTAGCCACCAACAATGAACGACTGCAAGGCGCTTTGCTTCGCAGGACTCGATGTAGAAATGCCAGCCGCAGAAAATAGAAGGCATTTCTACGGAAAGAATGCAGACGTCAGCAGGTACTTATTCACCCCTATTTTTTAGGGGAATATCTATGATCCAGACTTTAAAGAGACTTCTTCCAGCTTACCCGCCACAGATGAAGAACTGGGGTTCATCACAGAGCCAGAGACACCTTCATCTTTAGATGCCTTATGCACGAGTTGCCCGACATGCAACGCCGAGATACTTGCAGAGACATCAGCCAAAGGGGCATTTATAGAATGCCTGGACTGCAATATCCTACATCTAAAATGCTATAGTACATTGGAGGAGTACACCCCACCACCGACGAGTCTCAGACCGTAGATTTTCTGATGGATGAGCCATACATCCCACTTGGGATAGATGAGTATATACCATGGAGTCCAGGGCCGTACATCCCTTTAGATGCTGAATCACATGTTCTAGATGAGCCAGCGCCAGTATGGGCTCCTGTTGATGTCTAGATGGAGGAATGCTCGCGACAGTTGTCGAATCCTAGCACGATGGATTACTATAAAATAAGCAAGGTGAATAAAAGAGAATTTGAATTCTATGAAGAAGTCTAAGGAAGATTCGTCAACATACTGGAAGGCCTGGAGCTGTATACTAGGGTCTTCTCTGAAAGTGACAAAAGAAGAATTCTTGACTGCATCTTTCGCTTGAGGGATAGAGGTCGAGTAGGCCTTCTCATGAAAAGAACATACTCTTAGCCGAAGAAATGGATGAGAAGAAAATGAAGAATCACCATTCAGTGTGGCTTTTTTCATAATTTTACAAATGAAAGACAAGGAAATTTGTCGGGGATCCTCAGACATGACCAGGCAGATCAACTACCTCCTATAATAAAGTGGATGATAAAGAGGATGGTCAGATGGAACATACTGCCAGCTACCTGCATCCTGAATAGTTGCATCATTAACATCTATGACGAGGGTGATTGCATCCCTCCCCATATAGACCACCACAATTTTGTGAGGCCCTTTTGCAAGGTCTCATTCATGAGCAAAAGCAATATATTATTTGGAAAACAAATTGACATTGTCGACCTTGGCGAGTTCAGAGGAGTTGTAGAGATTCCGCTACCAGTTGGTTCAGTTTTTATCCTAAAAGGAAACATGGCAGATGTTGCCAAGCAATGCATCTCAGGGGTACGACACCGTAGGGTGTCCGTAACTTTCTATAAAATGGACGATAGCAAAGCACCATACCGATTTCAGCCAGACCCAGAACTAGAAGAGCTGCTACCGTATCAGCTCTGAGAGGTTTGTACCTCTAAGTATATGGAAAGAGAACTGTTGTCCTAGAGCATGGCTTAGAAGGTCTGCTCGATCAGGAGCTCATCATACCTGACACAGATGTTCAGAGTGCCCACTTTTTTACAGTGACATGATATATATCAAACATAATCAGCCTATAATGTATACTCGGCATGGGATGTTTTGGATGTTCTTTGATATGGACTATATATTGTACCTTTTTTAGGCATTAGCCTATCTTTGATCTGTGACACCTTGATTGGAGCAGAGTAAAGAAGATTTCTCTCAAAAATATGTCTTTTTGTCAATTGACTTTTTTTGCGCTGGATGGAAGTCACGAACTATGTGTTGGTTTAGAATTTCATTGAAAGAAGAAGGAAACAACAAATCTTTAACAAAAATAGAACTCAAATAAAAATAATCACAAATGAACAAACAACAAAATAAATTTCCTTTGAAAATCAACAAATTAAAATTAAAATTTTAAAGACATATTTTGAAAAATTAAATGTGATAAAAACAACAAGAAAAGAAAATGAATTTGTTGAGTGGATTCTCACGGTTTCGGAGTTTCTTACTCTTTGTGTGTGTAGCACAACCATCTTTATCTGCATTAATTTTCTTCACATCACCACGGGATTACACATTCCACACAAAATCTTCTAAAATTCTTTACATTCTCTACGGAGTGTCACACTCCTCACCACTCCTTGCATTCGGGGCGGGTCATTGGAGTCCTATTCCCTTCTTAACACTCAATCAAACCTCGTGTCACCTTTTAGGCTAGATCCAGTTCGGACGAAATGTCCCTAGCGGTAGCTCGAACTGGTATAGTCTCCCTTCCTTCCTATCATAATGTCTTTAATGGTTACTACCCTCTGCACTCTCGTCACCTCTTAGGTTGGATGTGAGTCCCAGCGCTTTCCTTCCTAACATGATCGATATATTTTTCTACTACCACTTGAGTTGGATGTGAGTCACAGTGCTTTCTTGCTCAATGTAGCAGATATTTTCCTCATTACCTCTTAGGTTGGAAGTGAGTCCCAGTGCTTTCCTTCCTAACATGATCGATATATTTTCCCGCTACCACTCGAGTTAGATGTGATTCATGGAGCTTTCCTCCTCAACGTAGCAGATATTTTCCTCATCACCTCTTAGGTTGGATGTGAGTCCCAGTGCTTTCCTTCCTAACGTAATTGATATATTTTTCCACTACCGCTTGAGTTGGATGTGAGTCACAGTTCTTTCCTCCTCAATTTAGCAGATATTTTCTTCTTCGCCTCTTGGGTTAGATGTGAGTCCCAGTGCTTTCCTTCCTAACGTGATCAATATATTTTCCCTACTATCGCTTGAGTTAGAAGTGAGTCACAGTTCTTTACTCCTCAATGTAGCAAATATTTTATCCGTCACCTCTTCGTTAGATGTGAGTCCCAGTGCTTTCCTCCTTAACGTAATCGATATAATTTTTTGCTACAACTTAAGTTGGATGTGAGTCACAGCACTTTCCTCCTAATGTAGCAGATATTTTCTTCGTCACCTCTTAGGTTGGATGTGAGTTCGAGCGCTTTGCTTCCTAACAAGATCAATATATTTTTTCACTACCACTTGAGTTGGATGTGAGTCACAGTGCTTTCTTGCTCAATGAAGCAGATATTTTCCTCATCACTTCTTAGGTTGGATGAGAGTCACTGCGCTTTCTTTCCTAACGTGATCGATATTTTTTCCCGTTACCGCTAGAGTTGGATGTGAGTCACAACACTTTCCTCCTTAATGTAGCAGATATTTTCTTCATCACCTCTTGGGTTAGATGTGAGTCCCAGTGCTTTCCTTCCTAATGTGATTGATATATTGTCTCACTACCTCTTGAGTTGGATGTGAGTCCCGGCTCTTTTCTGCTCAACGTAGCAGATATTTTCATCGTCACCTTTTGGGTTGGATGTGAGTCCCAATGCTTTTCTTCCTAACGTAACATATGTATTCTCCCTGTCACATGTTAGTTTATAACTCCCTAGTGGTAACTCAAACTGGTATAGTCCTTTCTTCTGGCGTAATATCCTTAATGGTTGCCATCGTCTACACTGTTGTTACCTTTTTGAGTTGGATGTGAGCCTCTATGCCTTCCATCTCGATTCTGACCTCCCACATAATCTTATTCTCTGAAATTATCAATGCTAAAATAAAAATTAAACATTGAACTTGGAATCTAGTCCCCGCCTCAATTGTCAATTTTCCTGATGGTCATTTGCGGAGTCTCTTTGCTTTTCCTCAGCAGAGAGCATCTGTTGCTCCCCGACGAAAATAATTGTTACTCTATTCTACACTAATTCCGAGTCAATTGACTTAGGAGTTTATATTGGTTTTGTTGATCTTATCGGTCAACGCCAATACGCGCGGTGTGCTTGCCCAGTACACCCCACCTATTGGGGGTCCATTTGTTGACCTCACTTTTGGTTGAGGTTTAGTTTTTCTGCTTTAGTAGCCTAAGGTCTAGCCATAATACTTTCCTACTGACTATTCTTAGAAAACTAGAAAAGGAACCCTCACTATTAGAATTTTCAAACTCTTCTCTACTCAACTAAAAATTCCACATATTGGTCCTAACCTCCAGCACTTAGTAGGTGGGATCATTAAGGGGGAACTCAAGATGAGTCACCCTTAGGACTGCTGGACCTTAGGGTTGACCTTGGGTGTTGTTCTAGGGCTTAAGGTATATATTTTCACTCACAACCACTCACAATCCTAAACTTAAACTTCAAGGCTTTGGTCCCTTGATACTTTTGGGAGACTCATGTAGGTGGTCCCCTAAACCCATAAGCCCTAGGCTAGGGTTTAGCTAAGACCACTACATAGAGGACCCAAAATGGGGTTTCCATTGGTCCATGGCTTATTGATGGTGGGTGGCACTTCAACTCAACCAAGATACCCAACCTTGCCTTTTGTCTCTAAACTCCGCCAAATTACCTAGATACCCTTGGGGACCCCAAATTTGGCAAAAATTCCCAAATTTACCCAAAATACCCAAATTAGTTTAAAAATAATTTCAAACACCGTGAAAACACCCAAACTACCCAAAATCACCAAAATTTGCCAAATTAACCAAAATACCCAAAATCACCAAAATTTGCCAAATTACCAAAATACCCCAAATTTAGTCCAAAATTTCCAAAAAATCCCAAAAGTTCCTAAAACCTCCCAAGTTTTCACAATTTCATTTTCCTCAACTACCACATGATCTAATTTGGCCAATTTGACCATCTTTGACAAAAACCCCCCAAATTACCTTTTAAGGACCCATTGTTCTCCAAATCTACCTTAAATGTCCATTAATTCCCAATCTCCCCAAATTTCAATCCCAAACTCAAATTCAACCTCAATGTGACAAAAAAAAACCAAATCCTTGGCTCAATTGGCCCATGCTTTGTGCCCAATTTTGATATAGGTCAAACCCCCAATTTTGGGCACATGACCTAATCTCACCAAATTGAACCCATAGCCCACTCAATTGGCACCCAATTCATGTTGAAAACTCTTCATCACATTCCTATTGACCATTTTCAACAATCAATTTGGACTTAGCCCAAGTCTAACCCAATCTAGACTCAAGTCTAGCCCAACATGCCCAAATTGACCAAATCTCCAAAATCCTTCCAATTGACGCCCCAATTCAACTCAGAAATCTTTTCGTCCTTCACCAAGTTTGTTCCTTACAATCACATACACCAAATGAAATAATTAATTAGGCCAATTTACATGGCTAGTCTAGCCCAAACCCAAGTTTTTGTCATTTTCACCCACTTGGACCCATGCACTAAATGTGGCCTAACCACCCTAAAGCCATAAAATTAACTCCACCACAACCATTAAGTGGACCCTAAGACTGAGCCAAAAACCATCTAACCCAAGCTAGATGAGCCATGGATCAAGAGTCCCTCAAACTAAGGGATATAATATCCATTTTTTCTTAGGCTTAAGATATCTTTGCCAAAACAATACCTCATTGCAATAAATTGCTGTGACATATTCCCCTAGGTTCCCTGAGCTCCTAGCCACCTCCCCCTACCATGGCCGACCGACCTAGTCACCAGAGAAGCCAAAACCAAGGGACACCTCCTCTTGAACTTCACCGAAATAAAACTCAGAGGCCACCCAACCCAAATCAAATGATAGAGCTCCTCAGCCCTCCACCTAAGCATCACAATACACCAAAATATTGGCCCTCAGAGCCACCCCTTAGCCATTTTTATAAAAACTCACCTCCACAGCCATGGGAGGTGTGAAAAAATTTCCTCTGAGAGACTTCCTCAAATTGATTCCAAAGCCTCTTTGTGACCTCCTAAGTGCAATCCAACCACCACTTTGCCTTGAATCCTCTTATCGAAGCCCAATTTTGAGCTCGAATCTTTGCATAAAACCAGGACAGAGCTCTCCACTCTTCTACACTCCACAAAAATCAAATTAACTCACCCACACCTTCACCATAGTGAGGGAAGGAAAAGCCCCATCAAATCCCCCTTCCACAGAGACTCTAGCATAGCTCTAGACCAACACCTGAAATTGAGCTTGGTCGAATTCCTACCCTACCTAGGCTTTGCACCACAACCAGAGGCTTAATCCCTAGCCTCCTTGGACCCCAAGAAACGTGTCGAGCACCTCTGACAAAAGCTTCACTTCTAATATCCAAGGTATTGATCTCCTCTTCCTCCTGAGCCTATTTTGATTGTCCATTTGATTAGGATTGATTTAATTGTATGATTACAGTATGGATAAGTTCGTTTCACTTACATGAGTCCATACGATCAAACCTGAAGTGATTTGGTTGAGTCTAGGCCGATATCTTAGGGTTTCAGTGTGGAAGGTCACGGGATCACACTATTGGGGTTGATGACGGGGAGTGGTCCGATCGCGCGTGTATCAGATGGATGGAGGAGATCGAGTCTGACAGCGCTTCCTTATATGAACCGTGGACCGAGTCAGCGACTATGTGGATGGTGGCATCCAACCAG